ATTATGGGCATGACAGGGCTCTGCGCCGCCGTTTTCCAGCTGGCAAAGCCCCTCGAGACAAACATTTTGAGAGATGGGAGACCCGAGCAAATCTTCCGACTTTCTGGCGGCTGCACATGTTGGACATACGGGGCAGCGGAAATGTCGAGTTTGAGACGTTTTGATAAGGCCCACGCCAATCCTGCAAAAAGCGTCTTCCTGCTCTGAATGGCCCTGGAGTCATAACACTCCGAAGAGGCTTGAGACACGGGTTCCCGGTAAAGTCTTGTAACGCATGAACCAATGCCTGCAAGGATGTTCCTTCACCTGGTTGTGCTTTGATGAAATAGTACTCCAAAGATCCGCTGAACGACACAAGCTCACCATTGCGACTACTTGGGCTTGCCTCTAAACGAGAGCTGGAGCGAATCGCGGACTTTAGCGACTCCTCCGCAGCTTTTGCAGGATCAGCAAAACAATCATGAGTTTTTGGCAATGGCATCACAAAAAGCCCAGCTCCAGCACGATTTGTGATCCGCAACCTCTCTGTTTTCTTCTCGACATAGCGAATAATGGACTCCCTCCTCTCATCACCCAAGGCGTGATATCCAACTTTGACAAAAAGCGCATCATCTGCAGGTGTAAAAGAACAGTACAGCACATTCCTTCCTGGCATGTAAGCGCCAAGACGGGACATCGGCTGCCACTGCTTGAGAAGAAAATTAAAGAAGGTGCTGCCGCCAAGAGATAGGATGCGTCCTTGATTGCCCTCTGATTCTACAGGCAAGTTCAGCATGTAGGTGGCGTTTGCAGAGACCCGGACAAGCCTGCCATGTTGCAGAATTCTGGTGTCGCACAGCACTCCACCAGTCAGGTGCTCTGCCACAGCATTTGAAATCTCAACACGTCTTCTGGAAGAGCTTTTCAGCAGGTCTAGATGCACCAGGACTCCCTCCACTGAGAAGCTCAGCGACCCAGCTTCAATTTGTTCTGCCATCAGTGTTTTCTGAATTTTCCAAAAGGTTGAAGGGCGAAAAAGAGTAGCCCTCCAGCCTGGCGGAATGGGTCGGTTCGTCCCAGTGAATAAAGTTCTGTGGCTTGGAACTTCGGCGGGATGAGAACGAGTTTCGGCTGGAAAGTCATCATCATCATCATCATGATGTCCACACACTTCGGCCCCACTGCTAGTTTCAGGAACAGTTTTCATCACATCGCAACCAGCTGATTGATTCAACTCCACCACAGAGTCGCCCAACATGGATTCATTTGAACTCTCATCAATGCTCAAAAGGTCATCACTGGCGATGCATATAGCGTCCTCCTGCTTGGAGGAGAACAAGAACTTTGCAAGTGGAGACCTCCGGACCACCGCCTCGCCCAAAGACATTTGACCGTCTGTGTCTGTCTGTCTGTGTGTCCGTGTCTCTGTGTGTAACCTTTGGAGTCACAGGGTCACAGGGGGCCTGCTGGATCCTGCTGGCATGTTCACAAAGTGGCCTTTTTGAAGTCATCCTTCATTGAAAGGCTACTAGCTTGCAGAAATCGAGAAACTAGCGGCTACAATTGAAAACGCGCAATGAGTTTTCGTGGGCCGCTAAGGATTCGTGCAGTCAGCGGCCAACGAAGACATTGCACGTTTCTTGTGAATACGTACCTGCCGCTTTCAACTGTTGGCAAGCTGTCTACCAGATCGAAGCGAAGGTGAAAGAAGAAAAGAGAAAATAAAGGCGTCAGGATAAGGTGGAGTGATGAGGTGGCAAGCGGCCCCGAGCGTCTCGAGCCTGTGTGTCAGCAACTGCCGGAGAGGAAGAAGAAAGAGGAAGGAAGAAAGAAAAGGATCGGATCCGCGCCCCCGATTGATCCTACGCGAATCACGCGCATGCTTTCATCTTTCTTCAGTGTGGCTCTTCTTTCATCGGCAACAGCGCACCTTCTTTTGTCTGTCTCGCCTTTCTCATCGTTCGTTTGTCTTTTTGGTGTGCGCATGCACTTTCACAACCCCCTTTCCAGGCAGGATGGAGGCCGAACACCCGATGACCTTAAGGATGTGGCACCGTAAAGCCTTAGAAGATTACCTCCCCTCAGGAGGCATTGGTAGATATTTCTCCGAGATGGCACGGTGGCCAAGCCACAAACCACCCTTCTCTACGGAACCTTTCCTAGGATTTTCCTTGGTCTACTCAGGCACCCTTCTCACTCAGGCCTCTTCAGGAGTCTAAGCGGGGGGCCGCTGAGGATTCGTGCAATCAGCGGCCAACGAAGACGCTGAACGTTTCCTGTGCAAACGTACCTGCTGGCTTCACCCGCGTTTTGAACTGTTGAAGAAGCTGTTCAGCTGTTCACCCTACTTTTCCGTAAAGTGCTAACGAGTGTGTTCAACATTTCTGTTCCTCGGACTTTTTGCCTTACTGTTCTGCAAGTCAAGGTCTAATCTTCAGTATCGTAAAGTGCTAGCATCACCGGACAATCACAATTGATTACGCTCTTGCGAGCCTAATACTAAGTGTAGGTGGGCGGGTGGGTGGGTGGGTGGCACGATTGAGCGACACTGCTTCAGAACCCAATCTATTGAACCATGTCCCTTCCATCACTGCCTGCAGCTGGATGCCTTGCAGCAGCCGGCCAAGTGTACAGAATAGCTTTGAAGCCATGAATTGGGGCATCGAAATGTGGAAATTAGTGTCTTCATGGGTTTTTGTCTCGTTTTGAGTGTGGTTGAGGTGTGACGCTCAAAGCCTGACAATGTCTATGAGTCTATATAATGTTCTGCTGTTAATTTGCCCGTTCTTCACACACAATACTAGGCGCTCAAGCCACATGAGAGCTGCAAAAAAGTTTTAGCATTCAAGGAAGCAAAGACAATGAAATCAAATGAGATCATGCCACGAAGCCACTGGCTCTTTTCCACTGGCTCTTCGTGTCCCCAAGATTCGCACAAGCACTGGAAGCTCTCAGCAACTTCGGCTTTCGCATTGGAATCAAACAAGGCCAGCGTCGTTGGGACCGCAAAAAGCGGCCAAGCTTTCTCAGTTTTGAAAGCTAAACCGTTTGTAAAAGCACGCCGTGTTGAAGCAGAAAAAGCTCTTCGGAACTGACACCCTAGCAACTGATCCAATGCATCGCTGTCCTGCGGAAGACTTTGCTTCCCTTCCATCAACTTATGTTGAGCAAGCCCCGGTAGCACCAGGAAAATGCAGAGGGATCTACCTTCTGATTGTGCCATCTCCAATGCATTCAGAAGCTTGCTTGCAAGACGCAAGACGACTCCTCGAACAAAAGGCGGATTAACTTCATACGTCCCTCCGAGCTTGCCGATGTCCATTTCTTCGTCCAAGAAAGGCCCTAAGGAGCCGAAAAGAACGTCCAAATCTTTGAAAGCAGAACAGTAATTCCATGCTCCACGGACTCCATTGCACAGCTGTGGAGATGCAAAGCACTCCACCTTTACAGACTTCATAAATACATCACCGATGTCACCCATACTATCCAAGGCATCAAATGTTGCAGCCGGAATAGCTGCATGAAATCCGCCACCTTCTTTGTGACCAGGACCACACATTGCATCGTAACGACACAGGAGGCAAAAGGTTATGTCCCAAAAGCTGGTTTCCTTCTGCATAAATGCTCTGAACTTGGCCGCCCAGGATGCACCTCGCAGCAAATGAATCCAGATCAGCAGCAAAACTTGTTCTTTTAATGGCCAAAACCTTTCGATGCTGGTGCTGCAAGACTAGAAAAAACCAGCTTCTACCTTCTTATACCTTCTTGGTCTGCACCTGAATTCGCCAGCTGCTCAGCCCGTTTGGTGGCTCGGCGCATGAGCTTCCTGGCAAATAGCACTTCAACACTTGATGAAGACATGCAAAGGATGACATCGACTCGCATGATCAATCTCTTTGCCAAACTCAGCGCAGGTTTGCACAGTCGCATGTTTTGCGAGACAAGCATGTCAAGTCCTCAGACTCCAAGATCAAGGAGGTAGCAACTTCGGCCAGTCATGGCGCGGTCTCTCTGGAGCCCTTGACTTCTTCGCAAGATCTGTGTTAATAAAGCTACTCACAAAAGCAGTGTAGTTGCCCAAATTCACCACTCCATGATGCCAGTTGTCCGGAAAGTACAGGATCTCGCCAGGATGAACCACACATTCCAGCATGTTCTTGAGGAGATGTCTTTCTTCTAACAGTGGCTTCTGCTCCAAATACCAATGAATTTGAGACATCGACGCGTTGAACTGCATCACTTTCTCAATCTCATCAATGGCTTTTTTGTCGCTGGGAGGAAGAAAGGAAAAGTGCTTAGCTCCATGAAACACCTCAACAAAGGCCGAGTTATGAAAGTGCCATGGAGCTCCAGAGTACATGCCACCCAAACCAATGGTCACAGCTGCAGAATCACGAGAGCAAACCTCGCATGGAGGAAGCACATACTCATCCCGAAGCGGTGCCCATTGGTCTCCGAATTCCCCAAACACATAGCGGTTTTCCTCCGCATTTCTGCTGACAGGCTTTGGCAGCCACTCAGTCAGGTACTCTGCCAAAGTCATCTCGAAGTTGCCAATTCGTTTGCTTCCAGCTTGAGACGGCGTGCATGTGACATTTGCCATGGACTGCAGGAGTTTATCCCTTTCCAAGTTCTTGGCAGTGACTTGGTTCCACCAAGGCGGAGACTGCACAATGTATGGTTCCGCGCCCAATGGAAGGTCATTTGAGTTTCTCGGCCAAGGAATCCGAGCAATTGTGCACCTGCTCCAAGTGAACTCTGATGTTTCAGCTTCGGGTCTTGCATTGGCATACGAGCAACCTCTTCTATCTAAAGCTGTGCAGCTTTCGTGTTGATTGTGATTATGCACGTGTCCCCGTGCAGCTTCCCAGGACAATGCATATGTCAAAACCACCAGCAGCATCCCACACAAAATGCCATCAGTCCCATGGTCCCATGACGAACACATTCCATCAACTCAAATCTCTAAAATTCAAACTTCCCAAGTAAACAGTAAACACAAATCATGACACGTGTCATGCTTGTTTACGTATATTACAAACGGTTTGAAAGGTGCTGGTGTAGGAAAGTGTTCCAGCCAGCCTGCGAGCCGATTTTGCGGCAAAAGAAGCTCATGACCACAAATCTGTAGAAATGCAAAGCCTAAACTAGCTCCACTACTGTATGAAATATTGTCGAGCAGCTTGTGCTGAAAAGGAAGGTTTTCCAAAAGGGCCGCGGCAAGGCCACGAGACAAAAATGGAAGAAAGGCCAATGTGCAAACGTCCTCTGTGCAGAGGGGAGCATGGAATTATTTGTGCAGTCCACACTTGCAGATCTGAAAACCAGGACCCCTTGTAGCTTTCGGAATAATTTGAGTCGAGGTGCGCTCTTAATCTACAGGACCTTTGTCCGAGCCAAAGGAGCCAAGGCTAGTCTACAGGACCTTTGTAGCTGGAAGAGTGTAGATCGTGTGGCGAGGATTCCTTGGTGGCGAGGATTCCTTGAGAGGCTTTAATGAGGATTCTTGTTGTTTGGTTGTTTCTTTCCTTTTGTATTTATTTAAAGCCCACCCTTGCTTTATTGAGCAGGCACCTATTTAATTAAGTAAGGTACTGGACGCTCTTAGCTACTTAAGCTATCACATACAGCTCACACTTGCACTAATCATTTGATGCCCCGCTGCAATATGCGTCTTTTGCAATCCTTTCGCGAGCTTTCTTGAAGCTTTCACAAAGTTTTGCCGCTTGTCTGCGTTAAAATCCATTACCATCCACTATATGAGTACCATCCGCAAAGTGCTAGACTCTAGACTCTAGACTCAACCAGTTCCAACAAAACACTAACAAATACAAAGGTCGTATATGTGATATCTGTGATATATCATGATTCTGATAGTATATAATACACTATACATCCATCTAACGTAAAGTTGTGTTTCACCAAATGTTCGCTTCTCTTACGCCAATTCATGGCTCAATGCTGTGCGGATTTGAACATGAGCCTGTCCCAGAAATGCGCATTGCTTGAAAGAGGTGCCCGATGGTCCGATGGTTTTCTAGGAAGGTGTGTTCCACGGGTTTTCCGCTGTCCAATCAAGAAATAGCATCGCGTTGGCAAGCTCTTCCCCCAAACTGCCAGACAAAGCCCAGGGCATCTAAACATGGAAGGGGTGCGCCAATCGAGCAAGAGCGGAGGGGCTCAAAGTGAAGACGGCATGCTCTTCTTCAGGTTCCACATTCGGGCCTGCCTCTCTATCACCTTCATCTGATAGTGAGAAAATGTAGCAGCCTCTATTCGCGTTCAATGTAGCTAATACCTGCTGAGTTTCTTCGATTGAGAGAGAGTTCATCCGCTCTGCTGCTGCATCAGCTTCTCTTTCAAGCTCTGAGCAGATTGCATCAATTTTGTTTGCAAAGCTTTCAGGCAGTTCTTTCTCCTGCAGAAACGGTTCGCGTAGATCGTAATACAGGCCCTCTGCAGCAGCATTCAAGGACGGACGAGCATCAGAAGTGGTGGGTAAATGACCACCGAGAAGTGGATCAATTCCACCTCCATTTATTCGTTCCATCAACCAGCGATTGAACGCCTCCCTCCGTAAGGTTGTAGATTTCATCAACGAATGCGCATTCGATGCTTGCATAATCTTTATCAAATCTTCATATCTGTTGCTCAGAAGCTCTCGCAAGCGTAGCACCTCTAGCCGCCGTTTCACTTCCACAATTGGCTGGGGGGGACCCCCTCGCTCAAATAGAGATTGAATACGCTTCAACCACAATCTCTGCAGTGTCGTACGTGGTTCTGGTTCTTCTCTTTCGGGTGTCCGAATCCTTCTTCGTTTTACATCACTTTCAGTCTCATCCATTGGTCCCACTGTCCTGCTATTGCTGCCCCTTTAACCTTGCGGTTGCATTCAGAGCCACAAGATTGGCTTTATATAGCTCACATCAACAGCCTTGTCAGCACGACCAATCCTATCCCCATGCTTTGCAAGCAGCCCAAATAGCACGCTTTTTGTTTCTCGCGAACCCCTTTGGGGCAAGTTTTTGGTTTAAATATGTTTTGCGCATAACGCATCAAAGCAAACACTAAATAAGTGAGTGCTCAGCACGGCAACTTTTGTACACCTCCGGGAAATCTATAGACACCCGAGTTTAAATCTGAACAGCCCTTTTCCAATGCTGAAGCTTTCGCTTTGCCAACCTAGTGGAAGGACTGCGCACGAAGTCAACTGTAACTCATGTCGGCGCAGCCAAGACACTTAACCGACAGTTTGCCTTTTCGAAGCTTCCATGATGTCCTCTCAGGCCTGAGTTGAGTGATAAACGTCTCAAGCCATGGGTAGTTTGCTTCAAACCTTGGCTGGCCTGTTAAAACACTACCCTAATCATCTACAGCATGCCCCAAACGGTTGCAGAAGCTTCATAAACCGAAAAAGCGAAAGAAACATACAGGAAACTGTTGCCAAGTGCGAATGATGTGATCTGTGGTGATATTGTGACTGACATGACACTCAATGATTTCGGGGTGGCGCAGTGCAATCTGATGAAGTAATGTCTGGCGATTCGTGATGTGGCAAATGTAAAGTGGCGATATTATGTTGGGCCATGTGTGACACTTGAAATGGTGTCCCATTGCAGCGTCACACTGTGGCTGCGTGAACGCACTGAAT